ATTGCCTCAGAATCACACTCAATTAAAAAGCAAAAACAACGTAATCCATCATTTAATCACAGCAGTTCTTCATCAAGCTCGAAAGACGGCAGTCCTCCATTGAGTTCAACAAATAGCAGTTCTCCATCAGATTCTGATCATAAAACTCCACGAAAATCAATTAAAAATGGAACGTTTCTTTTCTTACCATATAATTTCGACCATAAGGCTAAAACAGGAAGATCTGATAATTTATTAGAAGTGGCCAAAGAATTGCAGCGTAAACAATTTATTGTTTGTAATGGTCGTTTTTCTATATTAGAAAAACAATATGGTGTTCGTATCAATATGATTACATCAAAAACAAGTAAACAAATTACTGATGCACTTGAAAATGCTAAAAAAGGTTTAGAGAATCTTAAAATTCGTAATCAAGAAGAAACTATAAGAAAATCAGAAAACTTAGAAGGTGAATGGGTTCTCATTCGATCAAAGAAGCTACAAAGTCAAACAAAACCAGCTGATATGGAACAAGCATTAGATGATCTAATAAATCGATGGGAAAATTGTTTAAAAATAAAAAAACGCTCATATGATAAACAAGATGATTCAGACACTCCGACTCCGAAAAGGAAATACCTTTCACATTAATGTTTTTCTGTCTTTGTCTTTTATGAAATTGAGAAATCAATATTTTATTAATTTCTATTAGACTAAACTTTTAGCTTTTTTATCACATATGCTTCGTTGTAAAGATACTGACAACAGAAAGAGAGAGAGAGACAGACAGAGATAGCCAAAACTAGTGCCCATTGAAATAGATAGCAATCAAACAAGTTTGCTGCTTATATTGCATACTATGTCAGAAGGTAAATACTAATTTTTGGGAGGGTTTCTATTTGCCAGATATAGAGTAGATCACTCGAAAATTGCCCTGCTCTAGATTTTGACCACTCATTCACAGCAATATGAGTACTCTAAACATGCAATCTTTCCAACATATTTTATTATATGTTCGTAAGGTTAATTGTGGATTCGCGTTTTTCAGGAAAATACTTCCAAACACACTTGTGCTTAAAGACATGTTAATTCTGTCATACAGTGGATCGAACATACTGTCAGATGGAAATCTTTGAAAATCTTCATATACTTTTTGAAGCTTTTAAAGCACTGGAAATGTCCTAGAAAAGGATTGTCATTCAGATGATTAAATGTATCGTGAGCCACCAAGACTTCTACCATGTCGATGAACAATATCGAACTTAATACCAATCGAGAGATTTCATCGAATTCTATCTATCTGATATACATGTTTTCTCAATTGGTACAGTTCCTAGAGCGCATATATGATAGAAACTCTTTTCTTACTAAAAACAAGGTTTGGAAAGTAAGTTTTATGAATTTTTAAGGGATTTTTGCAATTGAAGTTTTTCAAAGATTTCCATCTGACAGTATGTTCTACCTATATCTAAATGGTATTTCATACAATCTTGTATTCAGAGTTCTTTTTTCAGAAGCGATAT